CACACACACACACACACACACACACACACACACACACACACACACACACACACACACACACACACACACACCCCCCAGGAATGTCCGTGGACATTTGGGAAAGGTAGACCGCTCACAGTGGCACAGTGGCTGCCTCAGGGCAGGCTGGATTTCTGTGCTGTGCTCTTTTGTATGGTGTGAGCTGTTCTCTGTGCTCATGTATTACTTTTTCAATAAATATAAATACATTGCGGTAAGAACGTTTTAAAACAGTGAGGTCATATCCTATGGACGGTTCTAGAAATCAAAGGTGGCCCGGTTATCTGCTGGGACTTTGGTAGAGCTGTTTTCTTCTGGGAGGGGGAGATGGCCTTCTTGCTTCAGGGCCATCTGTCCTTGGGCCTGGGCTGTTCACTGCTCTCCCAGGGAAGCTGCTGGCTCCCTGGGCCTGGTAAACTGCCCTACCCAGGGGTCTCCATGAGATTCTTTTAGAAAGGTGAGAAATGGACTCTTTTTCTTTTAAACCCACAGGAGAATCAATTTTGCTTTCACAGAAAGCAACGAAAAGTTCAGTGTGCTTTAGGTAAATAGAACTTTTTCCACACACTGTAGCTCAGCCAAGTTGCTTTCAAGGCCATATTCATGTAGGAATTCACCAGCCTTTGGAAAGTCAAAACCAAGCCATCAATGAGTGCCTTTGTCACCTTGCACCTAAGCAGCTGACGCTGTAACACAGGGTCTTTGAAAGAGCCACATACAGCCAGAGCCAAATCATCATGCATGGAAATATACCAGTTTTAAAAGAAGTGCTATTTTTTTTTTCCCATGAAGTCTACTTAGCCTTTTTCATAATTAAAAAACACACACAACGCTTTATTTTTAAGAGGAGATGAAGTGAGGTGCGGTTGCTTTGGGGGAATTTCAGAACCAAGTTTTGGGGAGGTTAATTGGTCAAAATCTAGATGAAGATTGTATTTCTAATGTGAATGTGGCAGATAAAGTGTGAGAGTGATGTTAGTAGGCAAAAGGATAAGTTAGAGCGTGATATTTCTCTGGCTGTCCTGGAGTTGGAGATGACCTCTGACCTCAGGGCTCAGCTCAGAGAGCTGAATATTAAAGCAGCCCGGGAAACTGAAATTAATTGAAGTTGGTGGTGTCTGAAAGCTATGGTGATCTCTATTCTATATAGTTCCTAGAATTCTAAATTTTAGGAAGAAGTCCAGCTCATATATGAATTAGATGAAAAGCTCAGTAGTAACATCTCAACTATGCCAACACAAAAAGCTGTACTTAAAAAGGAAAAATGTCCCCAAATAGTTTTCTGACAACAGCACATGATGTAAGCCTTGAAGACTCAGTCTTCCCAAATGAAATCATGAAATTGTGTGGGCAAAAGAGTAGTCTGAAACTGGACAGCGTCAGGTTATAAAGGTCATTTTGGATAAAGCAGAACAGACAGTTTAGATTCCAAGGTTGAAATCTTTTCTGGTGTGTATATGAAGCTCACAGGCCAGGGTGTTAATTCTAAATCCCTAGAGTTTGAATTAAGATTAAATAAAGTCTGTCTCCACACACACACACACACACACACACACACACACACTCACACTCACACACACACACGGACACAGACACATAAACACGCTGTCCTTTATCTTTATTTTGGGTAGGGTTAGTGTTGGCTGGGGGGAATCAGGCGTCCTAGCAGAAATTGACATACCATTTCAGACAGGCTGGAAGGTTTTGTGGGAAGAACGCTGGACTAAAACTCAATTCAGGACACGACTCTGCTGCTTGCCTATTCTATGCGGCCTCAGCTAAAGTCATTCTGTCATTCCACAGGTTCTATAGGCCATTTGAGTGCCAGGTCTGTTTACCCTGCTGCATCTTTACATCCCCACACATTTCATTTCAGCTTCTCTAAAGTGTTTTTGCCTCATCTTTAAAATGTAACAACAGTAGGAAAGCAGAGGTCACAAACTGAAGTGCTAAGAGAGACCTGATAGAAACATAAATGAGGGGAGGAGGCCAGGGGTGTACAAGAGGGAGTCGGGGGGACTGTGCAAACTAGAGAGTTCAGGCCACACATTGCAAGGAGGCGGCCGCTACTCAGCTCCAATCAAATTTACCCTGCAGGACTGTGGGTCCAGTTTTGACTGATCTGCCACCTTTTGAAAAGAAACTGAGAATCTAGATGTTTATCAGAAATACCTTGATTTTTAAGTGCTAAGCTGCCAATTCAAAACTGTTTTAAGGTAAAAACAAAGAAAAACTAAAAAAAACGTATGTAGCCAAACATATTTATCTATTGGTTGGAATTGACCTTCTGGCTATCAATTTGTACATTTTAGATTAGATTTTAAGATTATTTGCAGCTTTAATTGTCTACAGTTTTCCTGCTGGGTGGATCCTTGAGCAGGTTGCTTGATCTTTCTGGAGCTCTTTCCTCATCTATGCAATGAGAATATTTATTCCTCCTTTGTCAGTCCCACCGGGTTATTGTGAAACTCCAGTGAGATATTAAAATACCTTGCAAATTACAGGGCTTGAGCAATTGTAAGGAATTATCATAATTTCAAGGGAGAAAACCCAACCCAGAGAAGATAAATACTGAAGTGGTAAAGAAACTTCAGCAGGGCCTACAGTGCCTTACTCGTTTGCATTTCATTAAACATTTGATCATATTGGACAGGCTAGAGAGAGACCTACCCTTCCATCTGGAGTCCTGGGACCAGAGTAGGGTGGAGCCTCACCCATCAGGACTGGCCACACGTCAAAAAATTCCTAGGAATGAGAAAAACAATAATTATGTGTCTTGAAAGTAGATCAGAAAAAGATTTAGAAAAGAAAACTACCTGTGTGAGTCATCTATCACTGAAATCTGGAAGATGGGCAGAGCTCAGTGAAACCAAAGGTTGGAAGGGCTACAAGATTCACTAGAGTTGGAGAATGTCAGTCATGTCTGTGCTTTGAGATATATCAATACCATCAGAACTGGATCTGTCTAGGGACTTCCCTGGTGGTGCAGTGATTAAGAAGCCGCCTGCCAATGCAGGGGACACGGGTTCGATCCCTGGTCTGGGAAGATCCCACATGCCGCGGAGCAACTAAGCCCCTGCACCACGACTACTGAGCCTGCGCTCTAGAGCCCGCGAGCCACAACTATTGAAGCCCATGCGCCTAGAGCCCGTGCTCCACAACAAGAGAAGCCACTGCGATGAGAAGCTCACGCACCGCAGAGAAGAGTAGCCCCCACTCGCTGCAACTAGAGAAAGCCCGTGCACACAGCAACAAAGACCTAACGCAGCCAAAAAATAAATAAAAATTTAAAAACAACAAAAAAAGTACTAGATCTATCTAATCAATAGCCAAGAAATGGGAGTTAGGTTGGAGCACCCTCAGACTCCCTGTGCTGTGGGACATGAGAGGGAAAATGGGGACTCTATGGCTAAGAAATTTACCTTAAGTATTAATACATGCTAAACATGTGAGCAAACATTTAGCTGGAACAATGTTTCTTGCAGTATCATTTATAGCAGTGAAAAATCAGAAAAAAACCTAAGTGTCCAATAGGAGGGGACTTATTAAATCAATTATGGTACGTCTAGTAACAATGATGTCACAGTTGTGTAGGTATTGATTAAAAAGATGTCCATGATACACTGATGAGTAAAAAATGTGAGGTGACAAAAATAGATAAATCATGTGACCCCAGTGTTTATATAGAAAATGCTGTCAAAGAATTCACAACAAAGCATTAACAACTGGTTTTCTCCGGGGGATTGGAATGAGATTATACTTTATTTAGCAATTATTCCCTAATAAAATTTATGGCTTTTGTAACAGGGAAAAAAATTTTTTTCCAGATGAGAAAGGACAAACAATGGTGCCAAATATGGATGGATAGACCCATATCTGGGCTCCAACAGGAAAGGATGACACCTGTAAGACAACTGGCAAAGACAGGGGCAGAGAGAGGAGAGAAAAGGGTTGGCAAAGGCTCTGCGTGGTCACACAGCCCCAGGAGAAGAACCTGGGAAGCCATGCAGGCGCTCCCTTGCTACTCCTCCGCTGATTTTCCTACCGCACACGCAGCTGCACAGCTTGTGTTGGGCCAAATCTGGGCCTGGCAGAGGAGGCCTCTGTCCTCCAGTGCCTCTCTGTTCATTTATCTGCTGGTATTTAGGGACCGTGATCCACTAGCTCTGGGTTATTGTGGGCAGGATGCTTCTTGACCTCTCTCTCTTGTTTGAACATGTTTGTCATGGTGGTTTGTTCTAATATCACCCAGAGGGCAAGCAGAAGGGACTCCACATGAAATTCAGATTTCACATCCTCACCCTTCTGCCCAGTTGGGCTCTTCTCTTGACTACCAACAACAGGAAGCAATTCAATTCTGGGTGAAAATGTGAACTGGGGACTTACCTAAGCTCCACAACATGCTTGCTGTTAGATAGAGAGAGATGGGCAAGGCACAGTTTATGCCCTGGAGGAATCTGCTGTGTCAGGGAGGAGAGAATTAAGCCCTCAAGTAACTTTAGTAAGGTAGATGGGGTAAGAACCAAAACAGTAATAAAAGGAGAACACAAATGTTAGAGGAGACCAGAAGAAAGACATGGGGCTGACACTGTCAAGGTCAAACTCTGAGTGATTCTGAAGATTGTCCCAAGGAGAAGCAGATGCTGTCAACAAAGGGTTGGGAGGAATGTGGGGCATGTTTATGCTTGCCTTCCTCTGTCTCAATCTCTCTCTCTCTTTTATTTCTGAACAGCTTTTTTGAGATATAATTCATATACCATATGATCCACCCAGTTTAAGTGTACAATTCAGTGACCTTTATTGACTTTTTTCATAGTGTCAATACTTCAGGTAAGAGCTTAGCTACCTGGGGTGGGGTGGTGTCGGGGGACGTGGAGAATCATAGGTTCTTAGAGTGATTATAGGCAGCCCAGCCCACTTCTCATTGCTAGATTGTTGCATCTATTGGGGATGACTAAGTCAGGATATTCTTGCTTAAATGTGACTTTCCCTTTTGAGGGGGGAGTTCAAAAGAAACAGAGGGCAGAACACTGCAGCTCAGAGCTGTGTTCAGATCCTTTAAGGTGCAAACTGAACACCTTAAAATGGTGCTCAATTTGCACCTCCAGATTTCTTTTGAATTCAACTACTCAGAAATTCTTTTGATTAAAAAAAAAAAGAACCATTCATTTGTACGAATTCATTTGCTGCTTCCTGAAGGAGTATAAAAGTGCTTATTGCTGGATTTAGCCATATTCGGCAAAATACTTGATTCAAGAATTTACAAAAATCAAATGGACAGTTGCACTAGTACCAGAGGTTCCCTAAAATCAGTATATGGCCCAACTGCACCAGAATCACTTAGGGAGCTATTTTAAAGGCAAAAGTCAGAATAATAAACCCATGGGTATATGGAAATCTGTTATATGCTAAAATGGCATATCAAAATGGTAGCATTTCAAAACAGTGGAGAAAGGGTAGACTGTCCTTTAAATGGGGAATTATGAGGGGGGCACAAAATTTATCCCTACCTTATACCATAACATATTGATAATTTCAAAAGATGAGTGAAAGATGAAAATATATTAATCAAAACACATCAGATTATTTCAGACTATAATATTCAGGTTGAGGAAGTCTTTCTTAAACAAAATTCAAAACGCAGAAGCCATAAAAGAAAATTTAAATCTTCTGTATGATGAAAGATGTCATAAACACAGTTAAAATATAATCCACAGAAAGGGAAAATATGGTTGCAGCCTATGTGACAGAGATATAGTCTATATCATGGATAAAGCACTCCTATATTTTAATAAGAAATAGACAATTCAATTTTAAAGGTGGAAAAATGGGCATATATTGCCCAGAAAAATCTGGGCAATATATGGAAGAAGAAAAGTTAACTCACAAATAAACATATAAATGTATTTACCCTCACTTGGTAATCAGTGAAAAAAACAATTAGAAAAAACCAATAACATTTTTTGCCCATTTAGGTAGGAAAAATAAAAAGATTTATGATATACACAATTGGCAGGAGTTTGGAGAAATGGAATTCTCATGCAGTGCGAGTGAGAGTATAAAATGATTTAGCCTTTAGAGGGAAAATTTTGGGAAAGCAAAATAAAAATTTTTTCTTAGTAATGTACTTCCACAGCTTTGTCCTATAGATAGTCTCTGTCAAGTGTGCAGGAATTTAACTCCAAGGTTGTTCATTATAGCATTGTCTTTAATTGCAAGACTATTTAGAAATGATTTAAATGCCCAGAAATAGGGGAAAGGATAAATTAATTATGGTATAACCATACTATTTAGAAGAATGAGGTAAATGTATGTGGACTAAAGAACAAAGAAAGAGGATTTCTACTCCTATTAATGGTGGCCAGTTTGTTTCAGACCAGTCCTCCAACTGAGAATTGTTATGAAATCTGGACTGTATATGTGTATGTATGCATATGTGTATATAAACATTTGTTTGAAGGAATCATAGAGCTAGCAAGGCAGCAAGGACTTGATGGGCCAAGATCCCACAGAGAAGGGAAGCCCAGAGATGTGAGCCTGATGTCTGATTCAGCTTTTCCTCTTGATCGCCTTGCTGATACCAAAGATGCTGTGGAGCAGCTGGGAAGCTGCACAGGCTTACTGGGCTAGTTAGGATAAAACTGGAATTCAGGGCCTGCCAAGGAGGAGGGACCCTTGAAATCAACCCAGGTTTCAGCTGGCCCTTCTTAACGGTTTATACCCTAGGAGTAAAAGTGGATCAGAAACAGAACATCCCTTGCAAAAACTGAAGACCAGCTTCAAATCAGCTCAATCCCTGATTGGATTCAGATGCTCTGCCTTTATCTCAACCGCTAGCCAGAAGTAACATAAATCGCCTTTGGAGGAACATAACATTGCCCAGAGTTTCAAATCATCTCTAAAATGTTTTATACATGTCTCTAATGTTCAAACAAAAATAAATAGTCATGTACAAGATAAGGATTAACTGAAAATCAAGTGATAAAACAGACTATAGAAAGACAGCCATAGAATATATCTACAGTTATTATAGCTCTCAGACCCAGACTCTAAAATAACTGATTATGTCCAAGAAATCAAATACACAATAGGGAACTTTAGAAGAGCACTGGAAACCCCAAGAAAGATGAAATGGAAATTCTAAAATTGAAAAATACCTGAAATTAAGAACTCAATAGATAGTTTTAACAGCCAATTAGACACAACTGAAGATTCATGGATAGCTCAGAAGAAATATTCAAACTAAAAAACAAAAATATAAAAGGGCGGGAAATACAGAAAGGAGTGTAAGAGACATAAAACATGATGAAAAACTCTAGTATATAATGACAAACTTAGAGGGCTTTTACCACTGCATATCAAGATATTTTATAGAGGTACTATAATTAAGACAGTATGGTATTACAGAAGAATAGATAAATATACCAAGGGAACAAAATAAAGAATCCAGAAACAGACCCAATATATGGACACTTGATTGATGATAGAGGTATGATAGAGAAAGATGGTCTTTTCAGTAGAACAGTGGGGGAGAAGAATGGTCTTTTCAAGTACTGGTAATTGGATATCTGTGTGGGAAAAATGAATATTGACACTACAGTTTAGAAATGTCACGTAGATTGTAGAGCTGTATGTGAAGGTTCAAACAATAAGGCTTTTAGAAGTTAACATAGGTGAATATCTTTATCACATGTGGGCCAGGAAAGATTTCTTAAATAGGGCATAAAAACCAATAACCACAAAGG